ATGCGTGAAGTATTCCTGCAGTCTTGTAGGCGCTAATATGTGTTACGTGCCGACCGCCGCGCCGAGGGTTTGTCCTTTTCATCTCAAGTCCTCGTCATCATTCCTCTCTGCGCTGAGCTCCAGGCCAAATTGCGTGTTTAGTTCCTCTCTTAACTCGACTAATTAAAGATACTGTCTCTTGTATCACCGAAAAACGACGAAATTAGAAATTACTATACTCTCAGGAATAAGAGATTTTATTTCCTTTTCTTATTGATATTTTTTTTCCTGAATCCGATTCTTTTTAAGAAAATGATATTTTCATTGAGCCTCACGGTAAAAATAGTTTCATATTTCCTATTGTAGTATATCACTTATTGAAATCAGCCTGACAAGTAACAATCACAATTATAATGCAATAATGGAGTGCTGGGCACAGAAAGGGAACTTCTAGGTTGCGGCGTCCTAAGAATCTTCGCCAACGTTCCATTCAAAGAAAATACATAAAATGTGTTGAGACTTTTACTAGGTGTTCTTTACAATTTTGCAGGGCATTCTATATTAATTTGCGATGCTCTTCACGAAAACTTTTAGAAAAATCACCCAAAAGTTTCCTCCCTAAAATATAAATTAGCTATGTACATTCCAAAACACCGCAATACCGATAAAAGCCCCTCCTGCACTTAACGGCTTCGTGATGTTGCGCATTTCTGCCCTCTTCTTATTTGGTTTTTACTTGTTAAGTTAGGTCCTCTTGTTGAGATGGTGAATTTTTACGGTCTGGTAAGGAGTAAATCACCGTTAAAATACAGTGATGAATATTTTCAATTGAAAGAATAAATGCATAATGGTTATTTATAACGTCATCAATGCACATACAGTTGATCATATAGTATCCGCGCCTTGATTATCCGTTTGTGTGGTGATCTGACGTCGCTATTTCGTCGCTTCTGTACCGCAAATCTAGATTTTCGCATGAGCCTTGTCTCCGTATAACTCTAAGCTTTTTGAAGCTCATTTAAAAACAGAGATACGCCCTTACCTCGCGTCAGAGGAGCGACGATTTCACCACTGAAATGTTATCACTCCAGAAACAACAGGCTTTTTGGGCAAAAATTGAAAATATTTGTGATCTTTTGTAATTTTTTTTTTTTAGAAATCTAATTTTAATTAATTTTTAACTTTTAATTAGTTAATAAATACTAGTGAGATAAGTTGATTATAATAAAGACAAAGATAATTAGTTTAATCATTTTATCAGTGTAATTGATATACTTTTATTTAGTTATTTGTCTTGCTAACAATGTCCATGACAATGTCCATGTCTACAAATACGATAGAAAATTGGCCAAACGTGTGCTTTCTCGTAACAAACAGAGCCTAAAATGACATGTTTTATCATTTTTTTTGGAAGTCTAGATCATCCGTTATTTTTATTCTGCGGCGCGAACCTCCGCCATATCGTCGTCCCTTTGACGTAAGGGAACTTCCACGTGAGTCCTGTTCTCCAAACAACTCCATGCTTTTTAAGGCTCAAGTAGACATGTAGATACGCCCTTACGTCAGAGAGTGACCATATTACACCTGATAATTGATCATCTACAGTGCTTTATTTTGGACCGAATCCGATTATATGATTGTCGGGTAGCTGAGAATATGTTTTAGGATTTGCCGTTGTAAGGCAACTATGTAGACGACTAAGGCAAAAGGAACTCTTCATCTTCTTCAAACAGCATTCTGAGGAAGGATTTGAAATACCAGCTGAGAGGTTGACGGAAGGAAAAGGTACGAGAAACACAGTAAGCAAATAAGCCTATCCTCCAAGATCCTTCATCCTCCTCAAGCCGCCTCAAAGTTGGTATTTAACCTTAGAAGACCGGTAATATAGATTGATGTATTCAATTTGTATTTTCTTTTTTAATTTATAAATAGGGATTAGTTCCCTGTTAAGGGTTTAAATTATGAAAGCAATTTGTTTCATTCTTTTCCCACCAGTTAGAGGAGAAGAGAGCGCTGGGAGAGGGGTGAGCTTTCTTACCCTCTCATCCCTCAGTTCTTGGCACTTTGGGCTCCCGGCAATATCAATGATTTATTGTCTTTGTATGCAGGTTTTAAGGTTTGGGTCAATCCTCCCTCTGAGATGTTCCTCTGGAATTTATTGCTAGACTTGTTTGTTCCTCTACCTCTTTCACTTTTGATTCGGCTCTTTCCGCCTCTGCTTGTCTTCTCTTCGCCATTGCACCTGTTAAAATCTGTGGATTGTTGCCGCTATGCGAGCTAAAATATAACTCTATTGCTGTCATTCTCTATTGCTGTACAAGTTCTCTGACATCCTTTTTCACCATTGACATCATTTTTTACCACTGTTCGTTCTACTACTCTACTGGGCCCAATGTCCATGATTTTTGAGCTATTGACGGGTGATCGCCCCTAAATAAGCCCGCTTGCTTCAGATTTTGGAAATATGATCCAGGTTTTTGTTCTATTTATATTACGTGATGAATTAAAGAATTATCCAATTCAAACAATGATATAATATTCTCTTTTTTTCGCAGTTCGTTCTACGTATCTACCGGGCCGATTTTCATGAGTTTTGCAACGATAATAAATATATACGAGTACAAGCTCTAGATATATCTCCACTAATACATTGTAAAAAAGAATCAGACAGCAATTTGATAGTAAGGAAAAAATGCAGTGTCAACACAGCCAAAGATAGGAGAGTTGTAATCAGGTCTCGTTGTTCAACATATTTCCTGAATTAGAGCGAAGCGTTGCGAGTTCACGTTGGCACGCCTTCACGCCTTCAATTTTACAGATGCAACACGGACATCCGTTAAGTATCTCTGCACCGTCCATTCCTTTGCTCAATCTCCATACTGCGTCTGATTTGGTTTGTCTTACTTGTAATGTAGCTTCAAGGGCTACGTGAGCAATGCCGCAATCACACGCTGAATGTGGGAGCTGAATATGGCTGGAATGAGGAAGTCGTCGGCCCGATGCCTGAATTTTGCGCGTGACGCACAAAATTCAGCAACGATTCTCAGCAACCATCGGACTAATGTTGAATTTGTCTGAACTATTCGAGTAGATTTGATACTCATCTGGATGAAAATAACTCGAATTTGCGAAATTTCAGCCGTTGGGCGATTACTGTTGACTTCCACATTCAGCTGCTAAATTCAGCGTGTGATTGCGGCACAACACAGCCGAAGATAGGACATACGTAATCGGGCCTTTTCTTTCAACTTCTCTCCCGAATACGAGCGAAACCCCATCGGCAGCATAGAGCAAAAGCGTTAAGAGTTCACGCCCCGCGTCATCGCGCCTTCAATTTTGCGGATACAACGCGGCCATCCATCAAACACGAATAGTCGTATCTCTGCGCCGTTATCAACGTTCCTTATTCGTGTTCTTTTATTTCTACATACTGTTGCTTCCTTTTGTCTTATTTGTAGCAGTGCTGGAACTTTTAGATATTTTGTGGCCTAGTTCTTTTTTTTTTCATTTGAAAAATACGCGTGTTAAAAAATATATGTGAAATTAGTGGTGTCACGTTTTGAAACATGTGATATTTCTAGTTTTGTCAGAATGCCATGAGCTCAGATGAAGAGTAAAGTGTGGTGGGGATGGGGGGAGGGGGCTATTATCCTTGCTCTTTAACCGGGATGGCATCATTACAGGGAATTTTACGGGAGATGGCAACAGAGAGGAGATTGATTGAGCACCAATGACCATCATGTGCACGGACCCGCATAAATCGCTTAAAAGTTTTTTGCTCCACGCCCTCGCAAAGGGCGAGCCATCAATTATTTTATTTTGCACAGATTCGCGGCTTTTTTGGAGACTGACAAATTTTTTAATTATTCAAACCGACTGCAGTGGAAAGAATCATCTCTCGTAAAGCCTGTATGCATATATGCATGCTATCTGACTATTATGAGAACATATTGTCTCCATTATAGTCCCGAATAGAGACCCTAAAGACAGAAATATTATAAATAATGCAAGTTTTCACTTCTTGTTGTAAATGGATGGTGTCTTCATTCTGCTTTGTGCGTTTTTTGTGTTTGGTAGGTTACAGTATGTTTGGAGAAATCGAATTCTACGTTAGATTTTCCTGAATATTTCCCTGTTTCCTCCTTTTCGTTTCTTCTTTCTCTTTGGAGGATGCATACATAGAGAGACCTATTAAATTAAAACAGAGAAGAAGAGGAAAAAGAAGAACGCTAAAAATACTGCGAGAAAAGAAATATAAGTATAGGTGTAGAGGTGTGAGAAAATGTGTCGAGATCGCGCCAAAATAAAGGTCAGAATATCCAGAACAAGTAAATTCGCTCTAGATCGCCCGCTAGAAGTTCATGTTAGTTTGCCTAAATAGACAACGAACAAACCTGGAGGCATGCATAGTTATTTCAATCAACAAGAGGCTAACTGATACATCCGGTCTGGTAAGAAGCTACATTTTGAGTGCATTTCGAATGAGCTTGCCATTTCACGACGACACCCAACCTCACACGATGACGACTATTAAACCACTTGGGTGCTCCTGTTGCCGACACTAAAAATTGAAGGCAAAAGGACACTTTCTTACTACGACAAGCCTTTATTCTGCCGTGCTGTGGAAAAACGCCGTATGAACATTTGGAAGTTGCCAAATTTCCATCGATTAAATGTTAATCTCTGAGAAAAGCTATGAATATCTTTCCTAGAAATTTTCAAGACTTTTAGGTAAAATTGCAAACAAAAACAAAATAAAAAATTAGAAAAAATTCGCTTGCAAATGTTCTCGAAAATTCGTGGTTTACCAAGCGAAATTTGGCAATGCCTGGAGGCTCATACGGCGTTTTTCCTTAGCAAGGAAGTAGTGTACTCTTTCAAACTTACATTAAAATAAGGTGATACGTCGATTTAGACCAAACAAATTTTTGGGTACAAATTGGTTATCATTAAAAAATCTCGTATTTTCACTGCATGTGTTTTCATAATACGTACGGCCCAGTGCGTCACTTAATACTTACTGTACAGTCTGATCGTGGCTTCCGCCCTTCCTAGTGAGTTAGTTGCGACGCAATTGTATGTGCCGACATCACTCATGTTGAAATCTTTTATGAAAAGACTCATGTACACCTTATACACCGATCGATTTTCCTGTATCGTGTACTTCGCCCTGGAATCAGAACTAAAGAAAAAATTTGAGTCAGATACTGGAAAAATAAAGAAATGGTAAACAATTTTAACTATAAAACACCTGATATGCCATGTATGACACTTTATTAAATAGATAGATATGTACTTTAACAGTTATGTCTTTTAATATAATTTATATGTCTTAACGTAGAGGCATACACGCGTTTTTAAAATTTGACTAAAAAGCTTGAAGTATTTCAAAATTTTGGCTAAATAAGCTCGGGAGGGATTTTATTTTTATATTATGGCCATCTATCACTTTAGAGGCATACCTTGATTCTGCCACAGAGGTGGTCCTCACCAAGGTCCTCAGTTTTGTCTTACAAGCCAAAAAAAGCTATGAGCTGACATGTAACATGTAGGAAAAACGTATAAGTATTCCTAGCCTTAATCATTCACTTGGTAATACAATTAAGAAACCAGTTAGCAAAACAAGTACATTTTGGCAAAGATCTAAATCTGCAAAACATTTTTATTCACTTTTTTTGAAAATTGAAGGTATGTAGTAATATTTTTATCCGTTTTACAATTTTTGATTATGGAGCTTCAAAGAAGAAAAAGTTTGTTTTTGCATCGAACTTTTACTTCGAAGAACATAATCTTGCTCTTTCAAACGATTTTTCCCAACTACGTAGTCGGCAAATCAAAACGCTGAGCAATTGGAACTATTCATTTTTGTAAACGAGCACCGATATCACAATTCTTTCCATGGAAATGATAACCTAGAAAATCACTGCGTTGCGAACAAAAGCAAACCTGCGATGAAAAATCAGTTGGCAAGAGTGAATGCGGGCAAGCGGGAAGAGGGTACAGGGGCGCCGGATCAGGCGAGAATATCGGGGATTCTGGATTGACTCGAGTAGGAAAACGGGGGATGTTCGGTAACCCGGAGCGAGATGAGGGCGCAGAAAGCGTGCAAATCGTCCCGGATGTGATGTGGCGAGATCGGAAATAGTCTGTTCCGAGCGCTCTCGTTTGGGTTTTCGGGTAAATTAGGCGTGAGCAGCATTTGTAGTGTGTATCAGATAGTTTGCGTAATCAATCAACAGATGTCCCTCATAATCATTTCTGGTCCCTTTCACTCTCAGCTCGGCGCCCCCCCCCCCCCCCACGCTGCCCCGTCTCGATTCATCAACAAAGCCACAGACGATAATTAGTTCGGAAACCGATGTTGCCTGCGCGTACAAATGTGAGGAAACTGATTATCGCCTATTGCGAAAAAGTATCGTCTTACTTGTAATGTAAGGATTTTTAAATAATTTCATTTTATTGTTTTTTTTTCTTCATTTACCAAAAACAAGGGTCAAAGTAGACGGAGAGCTGATGTGTTTTGGAAATATTGCACCGAAGTAGAGATGCTCAATCCGAGTGCAATTGACGGGGCTCTACCTAAATCCACCGAGAATCGTCTTACCTGTCCTCAGATTACCCCCTTTAATTTTCACTTTTTTCAGAGCAAACCAAGCATCATTCTTAATTAAAATGTTCTGCATTCTTTTTACCCCGGGAAAAAATTTTACACTGAGAAAAATTTGCAAAAAGAGTAAAAATCTCATCTGAAGGGTCGGATTGTACCTCATTTGTAACATTTAGCGTCGAGTCTGACGTTCCACCAGATCGCTTCCTATGTTCGGAGTGTTCGGAGAGTGCAGTCAACATATTTGCATTTATTAATTTATTTTTTTTTGTCTGCGTTCGAAGTTTTAACTTCCTCACATACGCAGTGATCTTGCGGAGCGTCAAACTCGACGATAAATGCCACGCGCTGGTGTGACGCGCTGACCAGTAGGCCAACTTGGTCGGCTATCTACAACATTTTTTTCTGTTTTTTCTTCTGAAAACAGGGCCCATCCATTTTAAAGGCTAAAAGTCATAAAGAAGCTGGGTCTGAGGCAAAGTCATACTCAAATATTCGACTATCGGCGAATCAAAAACTGCGCGTTGAGTAGCTAACTGTACGATAGTGGTTTGGACGGATAAACCGTCTTGCCCTCAGCATGTTTTCAAAAATGTCCGTTCAGCTAAACAGTGTAAAATTGGAAATTGTATGTACATTTATATTGTTATTTCAAGACCTGCGCTAATTTGAAGTTTTTCTGAATGCTAGGAACTAAATTTCGCCAAATCACTACACTCGAGGTAATTCAATGTGATCTAGGGACGAGACTCGCCACCAAGTTGCGCTGCCACGCGGTTTGTGTCTTTGAGAAGGAACAACTTTCGTCACGTAGAAGTTAACGCAAGGAACGCCGCACGGTCGGCTCGGTTGGCGTGGAGTGTATATTAGCTCCTACAAGACCGTGTGGATACTTTCCGCATTGCGCCAAACACACCACGGTAGGCTCGGTCAGCTTGAGACGCATATTAACGCCTACAAGACTATGGAAATACTTCACGCATTGCGCCAAACACTGCTGGGTCGGCATGAAGCGTATATTAGCTCCAACAAGGTTGTATGCGTACTTTACGCAGTGAGCTTACACCAAGCTGCGCACTTTGTCGTTGAATATTGTTAATTTATTGGTATCAGACCTACTGCTCGCGGTGTGCACAATTTTTGACCAGTGTACACCGCGTGTGAAAAACGCTAGTGTACACACAAATAAAGAATAAACACAAATAAAGTTTTTTAAATAATAGAAAATTTAGTGTTAAAAATAGTGGTGTTTTGTCTCCTGCATATGCGAAACCTCGTCTTTATACTCTATAGCGCCAGCACAGCTTTACTTTACATCCATGGGGCTCCTATACTGATCACAACGTTTGGAGTCTTAACGGCGGACACCTCCATGTTGTACTTTTTGGCCGTCAGATTGAATCCGTTATCGTAGTTTCAAAAATAAATTGTCAATGAAGTTTCACAAACGTGATGTCATTCTACTTAGTATTAATGCTGCCACACTCTACGTAGCAGTTCCTTGCATTATCCTATACATTGCGATTATTGTTGCTTCTCAAAGACGCATACCACGAAACACACAGTTAACAATTTCCGTGTGTTTAATGCTTGTGTCAGTTTTAGTGTTAATGTGTTAAGCCCAGTTTAGTGTTACTCTGTGTTACTTTTTTTGTGACAGATCAACCCACAGGACTTGGTTGCTCAACACAATTTTGTGTTTAATCTATACCCTAACCGTAGGTTACTCTGAGACATGGAGGCATGAAGAGAGAGTCCTATGGGACTTATGTACTTTTGTTATCCTCTCTGTTCTCAGAGATGGTGATTTGTGATTGCTAGCGCATTGGATCACCACCCATGCGATCCAATCCTGAATCACCTTGAATCCTGGCGGCTGCCCCTTAATTTTTAAGGATGTCGCAGATTTTCAACAGAAAGGGATGGCCCCTTCAACCCAAAGATTTGGTCAATTTGACACAGGGAAAACAAACACAAAATAAATTAACAAACAGCTTGTGTTACTTCGTGTTTTACTTCCCATACTGCCGTGATAAGGAAAAACGCCGTGTGAGCATTAGAGAGTTGCCAAATTTCCTCGAATAAAACATATATTCATAAAAAAAAGTTATGCGTATTTTTCCTTGAAATTTTCAGATATTTTAGATGAAATCGTGAACAAAATTGACTGAACAATATGAGGAAAAATGCGCAAAATTTTCCCGGCGAATTTGGTTTTTCTTGAAGGAAATATGGCAACGTCCGAAGGCTCATACGGTGTTCTTTCTTACTCAGCACGGCAGCATATTAAAACGAAATTCGGGTTACTTTTTCTTACTGTGCAAGTAAAAACTGGCGATAGGAGCTGCGTTTCAAAATACCATAGGAGTTCTTATAGCCGACTGAAGAGGGCGATAGAAATCATATAGCTGGGTGTAGAAAGTGGAAAAAATCATACGGCCGGGCTACACGAAGCGATAAAAAAGTATCGGAAAATATGGATCCCTCCATATCCCTACTGTCATCGTTGTTTATAGCTTTGTCTATCAATTTCAATAATCGGCCCATAGGCGGGCCTCGCCTCCCCCTGGTAAAAATTGGCCATAGGAGCTGCGTTTCAAAATACCATAGGAGTTCTTATAGCCGACTGAAGAAGGCAATAGAAAATCATATAGCTGGCTGTAGGGCTATACACGAAGTGATAAAAAATTATACAGCCGGGCTATAGTTCCTATCGCCGGGCTTTACACTTTATCGCCTAACTGTTGCTTTTTCGCCATCGGCTATAAAAGGCTATAAGAAATTGAGTAGAAATTCGTGTGTTTTGTAAATCCTTAAGTTTGTACGGAATCACCTTAATATTTACAAAACGCACATTATATTTTCCTTAACTACATATTTTTTTTTCATCAATTAAAATGAGAATAATCCATACAGAGTGTGCAAACATTTCAAAGTCATGCGTTGAAAAACGCTGACTTTACGAGATTAAATATTAGAACCTAACACAAAGCGGAGCGGCAGCGCACTGGTGCCTACAAACCTAACAGGGATACTTCACGCATTGCGCAATACATGAAGTATCCCTGTTAGGTTTGTAGGCGCCAATGCGCGTTTCCTTAAGCCGCGCCGCGCCGCAGCGTATACCACGGCGCTTGAAGCAACTATTTCACACCAGAGGTATTGCACAGTATCATACGAAACTGAAGGAGCCCTAATATATTAGTAATGACAGGCATCCTTCAAAAGTACGGAGCTTTCCTCGCAAAATAAATCAAGGTACTACGGCCGAGAAAGAGAGCGGTAGTCCACAAACTCACTAGGTATTACCATCCGTAATTAGTAACGTTTAGCATACACTTTATCGCCAGGCTGTTGCTTAGTCGCCATCGGCTATAAAAGGCTATAAGAAATTGTGTTGCCGGCTATAGAAGCTATTGGAAATCTTACAGCCGGCTGTTAGTCTATGGTATTTCGGAACACAGATTCTACTGCCAATTTTTACCAGGCGGTGGCAAGTCTGGTCCCTAGATCACATTGAATCACCTCAAAAGGAGACTTCTTGCCCGTGGTTCTGTGTGGATTCACACCTGAACTTACCTTGAAATAACTTCTACTGGCACAACCGCATTTTCGGTGCTACAGCATGGAACAAAAACAGGAATAAACCATAGTTAAAATACTGGAGTCGAATCAAATAATCTTAACTATCCTCTTACAGTTATCATCTTGAGAGGGAATAAATTGCATGGTGATGTTGAATACCACTATTCGGGACTCTGAGGAATCATTCTGCCAATTCTATCGAATGAAGGCAAATCCATTCGAGTCAAGCAAATGTACTTTCATTATTCATTTAATTGTTTTGTCTATCACATTTGAAATATTGCCTTTACGTATTTGATAAATTATGGGAAAATTAATGTGATTTGCTCTTTCTCACCAATTATAAAGTTTGTGTTATGCATGCAGTTTGTCCCAAAAAGTTGATATGCGTACAGATTTGAAATTCATATAATCATAGTTGTGTTTAAAAGCTAGGGCACATGGTTCAGAACTCCTCAGTGCCCCCAATGTCCCCCTTATAAAATGTTACCCACGATAAATCTGAACCTCGGAACCAAATAAATTTCACTGATATCTAACCCATTTGTTTCTTGACTCATCAGCAAAACAGCATAGGAAATGTGTCATCCACTAGTTTCTTCTAGTTTCACTTATCTCTTCCAATCTTTTCTTGCGCAGTTTTGTTGTTGAGCAAACATTTTTTATGAACCTACGGTTTTCCCTTGACATTTTAAACCTGTTTCGTATTACACTTCCATCGAATAAAAAATCTTCTTCTACCCACGAGGGAAGCGAGGAAGTAAAAAAGAAATAATTAACCTAATCAATCAGAAGAATCGCTATCAACAGCTACCGAAATGAGCGTTGGGGAAAAGAGGTGAACCTGAATAGAATTTTCTTTTAGTGAGACACATTAGTCAACACGTCGCTCATCAGTTTGCAGTCATCATCAGGCAAAGGTTACTGATGATCCCTTGCAGTAATTTCTCTTCATGAAAAGCCATTACATCACTACCTCTAAGATACTCTGTCTCAGGTTATAGGTTGTTTCGCACACTTACGGAGCTGAAGTTAAAAATGAAGCAAGTTTGCATGGACCCGCCTCTTAAGAGTATAATTTTCAGGCATTCAGTCAATTTGGTCGGTTTTTATGCGGCTTTGATTATGCGTTCAATTAATCATAGGGATTAATGGCCGGGGGGCGTCCCCGACCCATCCTATACCCTGAACCCCTAACTTCACCCTCACCCCAACGGGCCTCATCACGCCGCGTAACCAAACTAACCCCTTGACTCCACCCATCCTTGTATCAGCCTCCTTCCCACTTAGTCTTCTTCGAGATACTTTTTCATAATTAATGGCATCGTTGATTACGCAAGCACCCACACATGCTCCATGCTACGCCATCCATGGATGCCGTTCATGCCAACATATCCGCACATCGATGGCTAAAGTGCGAGACCACGTATCACCGTTGCAATTTTTCAAAATTCCCGCTCTTATTTTACTCAGCTGAGAAAGAAGCCAACTTTATAGCTTGAAATTTATACAGACCGTTCTGCCAACAGAGAAGAAAAATCAAAAATTTTCCTGGTTTTCCTGAGCATGACAGTATTGATCAACATCACTTTGCTTTGACTGTTTCTTTCCATTCATTAATTATACAGAGTGATCAAAAAATCTCGCACCGCCCTCATAGCCCCTAGGGCTCTTGCCTCTTTTTTGGGTAATCCCCTTAAAATTTTGGAGGGCCCCAAAAGTCGGCTCCTGTAACCTGAGATCACTGATAAAAATTTCATGTCTCTCTTTCAATTTTTTCAAAAGTTACATGGGGGATGCTGGGTGATATTGGTATGAGATTTTTGGATCACCCTGTATGAGATGAATAAGATTCTTCTCCGAAATCAAACCTGTTCATTTCATGTCTACCAAAATATCACATTTCGAACCTGTAAAGAAACAAGTCTATGCTCGCACCTTTTACCCATTTTTCTTGCTCTATCTCATTTCTGAAACATATTTAGAAAAGGACCCCAAAAACTCCTTGCGGGAGAGAAAGTGCCCATGCCGATTTTCAAATGGACGTATTTCTGCCAAACGGAATTATGTGCATTAAGACATGAGCCCTGAGACCCATTTTATATACATCCATGCATAACAGCAGGGATCACGTCATAATGCACATAGTTCTGTTTGACAGAAATACGTCCAATTTGACTACTAGGCAAGTTATCAAAACGTCGACCGCGAATGGTGCGAAAAAAAAAATCGCGTGATCATACATTTTGATCAAGATCAATAGACGAGTTTAATACATTAAATAATTAGAACTCAGTGTTAACACATGTTCCTATAATGAGTTTGTGGGGTCCTTTAAGAGACCGCTGATAATTTTTCGGCAAAAAAAATGAGGACGTGCTAAGCGAGGAGAGTTAAAAAGGACAAGTATAAAAAAGAGAAAAAAGAGTACGGTCGTTTTTGGACTCATCGATTTAGTTTTACATTAATTTCGAGTCAAGCGAAGATGTGAAGCAGAGGGAAGCGAAGCAAAAAAGAATAAAACTTTTAATGGTAATAAAAAACTCAATTACAATACTTAAAACGAAAGGCGAATTAGACTCACCCCTCCAGGAGGATCTCTCCCCGATTTTTAACCCAATAATTTATTGTTTTTGGATAAGCCTCGGCGTAACATTCTAAATGAACCTCTTTCCCGAGTGGAGATCCGACTAATTGATTTGGTATAACTATAGTTGGTTGAACTGGAAAGAAAAAACAAACCAAAAAAACGCATGAAGTTAATTACAAATTCAAATTTTATGAGTATAGCAAATTCCATTTAAAATAATTTCAAACAACATAGTGTAAAAAAGGTCATGTCGATTTATTTTTTCTAAATTTCTTGTCCGTATTTTTAATTTTTCTGTTTTTCTATTTGTTCTGGTTCTTTGTTTTAATTAGTCTCTGTTTAAGTATTATTACAGGTATCTCTACACAGCATAATTGAACAAACTTTCCACGGATGATCAGTGAAAGGAATTAGAAAATAATTCCATTTCTTTTCTTTTCAGATAGAGTCATAGTTTCAGTTTAAGTTTACATTATAAATATCAATGGCCGAAGTGTGAAACCACGAATCTCCGTTTGCGACATTGCTTCCTGTCATAATTTATTTTTTATTTAAAAAATTAGACAAAGTAAGGTTTTGAAAACTTCCTTCGTTTTTTTTATATAATATTTTAATATATATTTTGTGCGCATACATTTCAAATTATATAATCGACGTTTTTTCCTAAAAGATTAAGTTTGAGCGAAGATTTTGAAACGTCGCAATGAAGATACGTGAGTTCCCACTTTGTCCATCTATATCTTCCTCTGCAGTCCTATCATTTGATTTGTCTTATGAATACCATTTATTGGCATCCAAACCTGAAAAATAAAGATTCTCCTTCGAATCCTTTCACTTTTGTCATTGTAAGAAACATGCAAATACAATAGAAAATTTTCAGGTGTTTGAAATTTGATGAATTTCGAGTCGTAGTAGAAACTATACTGAGTGAACTGAGCACGAGGATACCCTTCGTTCATGAATTGAACACTTATTATTGGAGAAGATGTGACAAAATTATCTAATCTGCTAAAATACGTGTGTTTAAATAGAAAATACCGCCGGATGACATCACCAGGCGGTGAATTTTCTCACTTTTAAATATATTTTTATACCAAATCCCATATCAGAAAAAAATTATAAAAAATACTGTCAAATCGGCTCTTTAAGGACATTCAGATGAAGCAATGAAAAATGTGCATGCAAACTCTCCATTGTTTGTGAAATGCCGATAATCGCGGTCTAACTTGACAGAAATTCCACAACGTCGCAAACCAAATATGTAGTTTCGTGGTTTCAGCGTCGATTTACGGCGACAGTTTAACGCTTACAAGCCCTGTGTGTCCACCCTCATTGACTCGGCCTCGCGCATGCCAGAAATTAGCACTTAAGCCCCTAATTCGGTTTTTCCATCGGTGGCGAGGAAATAATCAACTCTATCGATATAGTACCATTTGAAACTACACTGGAAAAAAAACCACATTGGATCTAGATTCCAGATACTTGAAAACATTGACAAGAAAAAATACTCTCGATTCAATCAGATTTAAGCTTAAATCAAGAGCCAGGCCTTTTAATTTGAGCGGATTTCCTTTTGATTTAAGCTTAAATCTGATTGACTCAAGAGTCCTTCTTCTTGTCAATGTTGTCAAGAGTCTGGACTCTAGATCCAATGTGTTTTTTTACCAGTGAAGTACCCTTTAATACTATTAAAAATAATCGATTCTTAGGGTATTCATTGTAAATATTCAGAAAATCGATCAATTTTCATAGTTCTAAATGGCAAATGAATCGATTCATCTCAAAGCTCGACGTCCCTCTGTTATGCATGTGTTCCGTAACTCTGCATGTCACTCAGCGACTCAGCGCAGCATCCTCGCATTCAAGACGGAATCTCGCAAATGACGAATTGTAGCATTCACCGCCTCTACCCGTTAGGAACAGTTCAGAGCCGAGTGACGTGCGGAGTTTCATACTTACGTGGTGAGCGCTTTAAACTTCCAACTTCGGCATTCTTGAACGACGGATTTTCATTACGAGAGATGCAAGTGTAGAGGTGAAAATTAAAGGTTGCCAGATTAGTGGTGGTTTTTGAGAGTTGGCAACAGTGTTTTCCCCTAATTTAATATATCGTAAGTATCGATTCGAGGTGGAGACAGCCTGTCTCACCTGTGGAATCGATTATTGAACATACATTTAAATGGACGTGTTTCTACCAAACAGACCTATGTGGAGGTGAGAAATATTAGGTGTGCTCGTTAGTTCTCTGGCCGTAAGAGTGAAGAATAATAAAGTGCCAGTGACGTGTGAGGGGCTGCGGCGGCGGGGACATCGTCGTCGGGGCACTTTAACTCATGAGCCCTGTCTACAACGCTCTCTTGTCATGCCCGTGGCTCATGAGTTCCGCATTCATTTGGCACATAGGTCTGTTTGATAGAATGTAAAATCCCGCTTTTTCAATTCTTCAAAATGAATCACGCCCACTGACCACATTGCTTCTTATGCAGCTTCCTAGAGCACACCCCATATTTCTCACCTCCACATAGGTCTGTTTGGTAGAAATACGTCCAAATAAAAGAGGGGGGAGGGAACGATGTCCCAAACTTGCAAAATTCGCCATTGGTTATAATGCTTTTAACCATAGAGCTAATTTTTAAAATCTGCGGCTTAATTAGGTAGCAATATGTTTTCAGTGATTACTCATAAATATGCGATACGAAATACTCACAGTTGACGCTAACAATTACTCTTTTACTAACAGCTGGTGGAACTTCATTGGCAGCTATGCATAGGTATGCTCCCATTTGTCTACGATCCACTTTCCACAAGAATAATGTTTTTCCTCTGTGTACGTCCACTGAAACATTCAACAAGATTTACCCTAAGAAACTATGTATCTTTACCCAATGACAAAAAATAATTTTGTGGTAACGAGATTCCTGATTTTACACATAATCTCCAGGGAATCTAGACGGTAGCATTAGATTTCTGAAATCAGAAATGTGGTAAACTAGCGCGGCCAGTAGGCCGGTTTGCGTGACCGAATGTATGATTAAGACTATAACAGTAATCTAACGCTAGTAGCTAGATTTTGCAGGAAATGTACTACATAATCCAGAATCTGATAGCAACTACCGGCCTTTTTCATCAGCGCATGGAGATAAAACATACACATAGTCAAATAAGTATGCCACATGCAAATCTGTGGAGGAAAAATGTAAAGGAGGATACAACCAAACAATCCATTTTAAAAAATAAGAGGACTTGGATTTCTTTATTTTTTAAATGTAATTCGAAAGAATTCCTAGTAAAAAATGGGGGCAGCCAATTCACCTAATGCAATGAGGGTTTTGTCGAATTTCGACCTTGTTACGATCAAATAAAGTAGGAAAACGTGGAGTAAAACTTATATTTAAACGCTTAACGGTTTGAATGAAATGAGGGAAACTCCGAGAAAGAATATTGGTAAGTAGCTGAGTTTATGGGGCGAAAGATTTTTGGAACCATTCAGATCACGTCATGGTGCCCTTAAAACTTTCCGAAGACCAAGCGTTACCACCAGTTTTTTTTCCGGTGTACTTTCGGGTGGAGCAGCTTGTAATCAAGTTGTCTCGGATATGAAATGAAAAAAGTTGCCGCTCTCAAAGTGCTGAATAGTCCAATATTCGATGCCGCGGCCGCGGTTCAAGATAACGCGCGTTAAGTACTCGACGCGACGCGACGGGACGCCGTAAAGTGTCATTTGGCAGCTGGCCACGGTGTCAAAATGACGGACATCGCGCCGCACTGTGGACCAAAAGATGAGGCGACTAGAAACATCGTCTCTTGGGGTTCTGGAAAAAAATCTTCGCGCGTGCACCTTCATACAATCGCATACATACATCGTATGTTGATCCCAAGGCAGTTGTTGATCATAGAGAAAACCTCATAGAGAAAAAAAAGGAGGTGTTTGCATCTTGAGGCGTGTTTACCTTCTAACGTAGGTCGGTACAACCTGACCAGCGAAATCCGGAATTCGAAGTATGAAAAACGGACTATGATGTCCCATTTTTTTGCTTAAATCAACTCATGATATAATTTTAAACACTTTATGTAGAATGCATTTTTCCATAAACTACACCATTTCCAAGAAAATCGGTGATAAAAGTCGCGGTACCGACCTACGTCATCAAAAAAATTCCAAGATGCCCGAAACGCAAACACCTCCTTTTAAGTATGGCAAGAATTCTGCAGCGTCGAAAATGGAGATACGTGGTTTCACACTTCAGCCATCCTGCCATCGATATGCAAAAAAGACACAAGAATGAATACATGTAAAAAAAACATAAAAGACAGAAGAAAAACTAGGGGAGCGAGAAAGTAAAAACTGAGACATGAAGGTTGATGGGGAATACGTGTCAATAAAAGGGAAATATTGCCTTTGCGCTAGAGCGACTCAGAAAACCGATGTAAAATACCAATGGGAATTGAGGAAGATTTCACAAGAGGGAACAATGCATGATGAGAAAATACTAAGATATGCATATCGTCCCGATCTGTGGTGTTTCTCGTGACTTGGAATTCTCTATTATGATCATAAAAATCCAATGGGCTTATTGTAATAGACGTTTCAAAAATATCTGATTAAATGCCAACTATTAACATTTATAGACTGCAGGTTTTGTCTCTATGTTACAAAAATATTTAAAATAGAACCGACGAAAAATACGATCGAATGTAAACACGAAATGGAGAATCTTGGTTATGATCGTGTCCGCGACAATTAGACAGTCGAGTATTATTCAAACTCACTTCGATGAGTTTACCTTTTTGAGGTCATGTATATGAGATGCATTGATCTGAATATATCTATTTCATGTAACAAGTTTCACGTCTTCTTTTCATCGATCATGAAAATAAAACAGGTAAGAAAATTGCAGAAAAAATTGCGTTCTTAGCTGCTCCTATTTGCCCTAAATTACACTAAACACTACCACTCAAGCAGAGACTCACAGGGATACAATTTTAGTTGCTTGTTTTAAATCGGTTTTTCCTTCTTCTTCTTTTTTGTCTGTCGTAGAGCAGAGCTTGAGATTTAAATTGCTCGGTGAGTTCGGGATTTTCTCGACCCGTAAACTTCCCGCCGCGCCATGACTCGTCGCTCCAGCAAAGAAAGGGCGTATTCCGATTTCCACGTGAGCCCTGTCGTCCGTATAACTCTATGCTTTCCGGGGCTCATGAGGAAATAACGATGCGCCGTTACTTCAGAGGAGCGAAGGACTGTCTCCTGAAAGTGCTCGATCGCGGGTTATTACAATGACAAGGAACAAGGAAAAAACGGGAGGTGGCTGTTTTAATCTCCTTTTTTCCGTTGTTGGAGAACACAGGCACTCACAAGCGATCAACGTCGTATCTGATTACTTTTCATGACGGCCACGTATTAGCTATATTTTCTCATTTTCATCTATCTCGTTAATTCGATATCATTTACTAGAGAAGGGAAAATTGAATTTGTTCTGAAGAAATGAAAGAAATAATCCGTAAAAATAAAGGGGCTGCGGAAAAGAAGAACACCAATTGCAAGAAAGCGTTATGCGACTTAAATTGAGGACAAATTCGATAAAACAACCTATGAGGCTTCCAGTGCTGCTGGAATGGAGGACTTTGCTTCTTTACATACTACTGACCCATTCAATAAGTTCTGAATTTTTCACTTTTTCCTGTAAAAATATTTAGCTGTAAAAATTGATTTTTTCCTGTAAATCGTATATAATGAAACTGCATGATCTTAACCTCATTGCAGGACTCGCAGTCCTTTAACCGAATATATCCTCTACGCTTTTGAGTTTTTTCAATAGACAGAAACCTGAATGGAAAAATATGTGTGACCCGACGTATGTGTTTCAGCATTTGTCAATTTACATATGCATGTATTTTAAAGAATTAATCGATTGAGACTGAAATCATAAAATTCTTCTTTAGACTTCTTAGAATTCCTCTTTTTCAACTTTAATCAAACTAAAAATCTAAATTCTCTGTAATCTAAACTACCTAAATTCTGCTCTGTAAGCAAAACAACACAGGAAATGTGCCATTCAATAATGTTTCTAGTTTCACTAAGCTCTTCCAAATTTTTCTTGAGCAGTTTTGTTTTCAGGCAAAATGTTTCTATGGATCTGGGTGCTTCCTTGAAAATTTTAAAGCCACTTAGTGCGACACACACATAAAAAAAGAACATATATTGATAGCTTCTGCAGATGAAAGTCTCTATAGTAATGACATTTACTATCTAAAGATGATAACGTGCATGTTCTTCAATTCGCGGGTTGTGAAGAGCTTGCCGGAGTTTCGTTCGAGAAATTCTCTAATACGCTCCAGCCAGCTAACCTGGTAGCAAGTCAAGCGGCTGAGCTTTAAGGCGGGCTGACGTGATTCTTTAGATGGGCTCTTAAGAACAAACGTGAAAGCACTCAGGGTTTTATGTCTGGTTGTAGTCAACTGGAGTGACTTAGGCGCAAGCTAATATCAAACTTACGCTGAGAAAAATCGGCTTCGATGTCGACATAGGCTCCAACACGCCGGGAATCACGCCTTACAAGTGAGAGTTCCAAAGTTCCCTAATCTTCCGTGGCAGGCCAGTCAGCAAGGCTTGAGATACTCGGTAAACAAAATATGAGTTTACAAGTCCCCCTCCCCCGTTCTTCTCTTAGAACTTTACGGAGAAAATTATCCGACTTTTGGAAATTTACCTCTGAGATAGCAAAAATAAAAATCATTTAGGGAAGTCTATTTGGTTTATCTGCTGTTTTGCAAGACTCCTTAAGGGTTCCTGTTTTTCAATTTAAGATTTACGTGGAGGTGTCCGCGTAAGTAAGGATGAAATTTGGTGGTTTTTATCCCCATCTAACTCAATAATTCGATTTTTTCCTGAAGTGGATCATTTTTGCAAAAAAAGAGTCCACATTTCGAAATTTTCAGAGTTTTTCCTGTTTTGAAACCTCCAGACCTCTTTATGCGCGTCTAGAAGAAATTTTTGCTTAAGTCTCAACATTGCATTATCAGCAGAATTTTCTAGGTAAATTTTGAACATTGGAACTGGAAAGGAAGTACTTACTAAAAAATAATTTCCACTGACCTACTCATATCACGAGGGAACGTTCATAAAATACGTAACGCTTCAGGCAAGGAGGGTAAGTCGAGGGAAATTTTACGCCATTTTGTTTTTATGAGTTGAAGGGTAGAGGGCTGCGTGACAGTAGCCTTACGAGGGGGAGGGTTTCAAAAATAGGAAGTTTAGCGTTACGTATTTTATAAACGGACCTTAAAATACCTAATAGTGAGGTTGCCCTTAAAAATGTGCACTGCATCAGGCACAGTACATGAAATATAATATTCGTTAATTAAAGATTTGGCAAGAAGTGAAGGTTTCACATATTCATGAGATATTCTAGACAAATACAAATTAAAAGAGTGATGTTACAATGTAGCTGATGCGCATTTGAGTCTCTGTGTTTGAAGACGATCCATCTCGGAAAAATTAAATTTTTCAGGGGAAGATAAAAACTGCGAAACAACCATAAAAGGAGTGTTTCCTCGCAAAAAATGAACATCGTAAAAACCCGAGTTGGGTCGTTTTCAAACTGAGAGATTTAACTTTTCAACTTGCCTCAACACTTCAACGTAAAATACGACACTTTCATGAATTAGGTGAGCTGTTAACGAGAGTCAACCATTCGTGAAAGTCCGCAAATACAATCACACATTAGTCAACGTATCGTAGTATCGTGCGCAGGCTCATATTCATACTTTTTGCTTTTAAACAGTCTAATTTGTTATTTCCCTCGTCGGTAATAATGACGTCAGATCACTGTTACTCAAATGTCGTCATGTCTTCATTCCATTTTTTATTCATTTTAGCCATTGTCAAAGCGCCGACTGTTTTACAGGTTATAGGAAATTTCGTCAACTATTTTCTGTCCTCGCACCTGTTTTTTCCAGTAATTTACGTCCACGCGTTTTTTCGGCACGAAAGTCTTGGTTCACGTGCCAGTTGAGACCCAAACTTAATTGGCCGACTTGTAAATACAAACGACAATTGCTCACGACGTTTTTGGATGAAAAAGTAAAATGTTTTGGAAGAATGAGGGTTTGCTTGGTTTTTTGTTTTGTCTGCTTGGTCCAACGGAGAATAATATATGGTGGAGAGTTTTGGTAAAAATGGGGGAGCGTCAATTCCACGAGACAAAAATCACTAACACTCTCTACACCTCTTTGGTGTAACAGGACTTAAATATCTTTCAAGAATTTCCCACCTTGTTATACCTGAACCGGATAAACTTCTATATTTGCCTCAGCTAAAGGCTCTTAGATTTTTCCAGTGTACGATAAGTATCTTGATTTATTTTGCGAGGAAAGATCTGTACTTTTGAAGGATGCCTGTCATTCTTAATACGTTCAATTTCGTATAATACTGTGCAACACCTCTGTTGTGAAATAGTTGCTTCAGGCGCCGCCGCACGGCGGGCGGGCGGCGAGCGCTTAACGCGCATTGGCGCCTACAAACCTAAGTGGATACTTCAAGCATTGTGCAATGCGTGAAGTATCCACTTAGGTTTGTAGGCGCCGGTGAGCCTCTCGCGCTGGCAGCACGCCGCTTCGCTCTTTTAGGCTTTAATAGGTATTTATACTCGCATAGTCAGCGTTTTTTAACTCATGATTTTGAAATGTTTGAAACTACTGGACAAAAAAGGCGCGCGGACAAAAAATCGTTGACAAAATGTCTTGAAACCGTTTTACGCGCTAACGAGAAGCAAAAACAAGGAGGATAAAACCACCTACATTCTAGGCTCCATAGAAAAAAACTTTTTTGAAAAATTTTTTAAACTGAAATTTTTATGAAGACGTCATGCAGCCGAGACCACCAAAAATATATGCAATGAAGACATGTTTCCCTCGAATTCAAAATGACAGTACATGATCAAGTTTGGTCCAGTTAGATCCTTTTGCATATATCAATGGCTTAAGTCGAGAAAAATATATCACCGATTGAAATGTCGCAAGTCTCAAACCATGTTTTATTTTTTTTAGAGGGAACGGACTAAATATTTGTCTACAGCTTCTCTGTTCGCTTTCTTAGCTTTTTCAACAGTATTCTCAAACAATTTAAAGGTAAAAAAAAATTTAAAAAATAATGATCTGAGATTTTGAAATGGCACGATGTACTTACACAATTTCCGTCCCAAGCCATTAATATGGATGGCCAAAGTGGAAAAACATGTAAATCTGTTTGCGACATTGATGATTTCTTTTCATACCTCATTCTCTCTTTGTAAAACTAGTCAACTTGAAAACTTCATTGAGTTTTCCTCTCTGTCAGCAGAATATTCTGTATGAATTTTAGGTTAAAAAGTTGGCTTATTGTTTCTCTTCGAAAAAATAGAATACACTGGAAAAAAAACACATTGGATCTAGAGTCCAGACTCTTGAAAACATCGACAAGAAAAAATACTCTTGATTCAATCAGATTTAAGCTTAAATCAAAAGGAAATCAGCTCAAATTAAGAGGCTTGGTTCTTGATTTAAGCTTAAATCTGATTGAATCAAGAGTATTTTTTCTTGTCGATGTTTTTAGGAGTCTGGACTCTAGATCCAATGTGTTTTTTTTTTCCAGTGTAAGAGCGGGAACTTTGAAACACTGCAATGGAGATACATGGTTTCGAGCTTTGGCTATCGATATGTTTATTCTTATGGTGAATAACGTGCAGTAGTACACAAATATGTTTACCTAAGGTGAGGTCTCGGACATTTTTCCGGATAAGCATAGGCTCTCCATTTTCACGTCGCCATGTCACAATAGGCTGAGGATGACCTGTTGCATGACAGCTTAAAGTCACGTTGTCGCCTTCGTTGACAGCTGTATCTGAGCTCGAGTATTCAGAAATGATATCAGGCGGAACTGCAACAAAGAGGAGAAAGCAACCGGATCAGAAATTTTGTCAAATCTAAGGCATCCTTTCTGAGCAGCAGCCTGATTGTTGAACTTTATGTCGGCGTGACAAGAACCAAAAATTGATGTATTACACGGCGCAGATAGGGCTATGCCTGGTCTTATCTTGCCGACAAAGCCGGTTAAAAAGTTTCAACAATCAGGCTGCAGGTGTATGCTTTTTACAGAGAGATTGATAAACTTGTGTTACCGATAACTCCAAAAATTTATGAGGATGCAAACGGTAAAATTAGATGAGAGGTTTGGATTTTTTAAAGGCTTTCACATTCCCCTGGACACGATTTTAAGGTATGTGATGTGATGTATTTTTAAAAACAATTACAATGACATACATGCCATCGAGGCAGTCTCGACATGTTTGACAGTGTTTGACAGTGAACATACTTATTATATTAAATAGTTTAAAACAAAACACAAATGGGAGAATCATTATTAATTCAACATCAAAGACAAGAAAAATAATGGATACAAAGTAAAAGTGTAATGAAAAGGGAAGTCGCAAAGAGGTTATTAAATCTAATCCACACTCAAAAGTAGAAAACTTGTTTCGTCTATTAATAAACTTAGAAGCTGACGTTAGACGTTTGTTGGAGAGCTGTCTGTTGATCTAATCTTAGTTTGGTTCTAATCAACTGTTTTTATAGTCTACCTAGTTAAAATCGAAGAAATCCGTACTTTCAGGTTTTTCTTTCTTTCTTTCTTTCTTTCATTCTTTCTTTTTATCAGAAAATAATCAGCACAATCATTATAACATGTCAATATTCATTTCGTTATGTGTCAAAAATGATGCAATTTTTCATTACAGTTACTCAATACAGCAAATTCTCAATTTTGAGGTCCTTTGATTTTTTGTACATTCAAACCATATACCCTTGTTTCTTGTCTAAATGACCTTTTCATTTAATTATACTTTATTTCACTCTTACATTTCTTTGCAACGTTTCAATGGAATCTTAGCTGCCGTGTCGTCGACACGGCAGCTAATATTGTCGTATTGTATCGTAGTCACGGTTCTAAGTAGTTTCAATTTTTTCGTCGAAAATATAATATTTCAACGCGTATCTGCATCTCCCCATTATTAAAAAGGGACGCAATATTTCGACCTTTATCTGATCTGACCTGTACATTATTAAAGCTACAATGGGCTCTTGCATTCCAGGAAGAGTGAAAATGCTTGGACGGTGAAAAACTTTGACTAGAAAGTTGACGACATGATTTCAACCAAGTTTACCCCCCGGATGAAAACGAAATTAGTCGCTTCTTCTGGCTCGGAAGATAATGTGCCACTAAAAGTTATACTCGCTTGGAATTCAGAAGGCTTAATTGATAATTAATCCGCGTACCGGCGACTTTTTAAGTCCTCTGCAAGCTTTTCTTGATAAAGGCAAGGGATACTTTCAGCGTCATCGTTTCGCTGATTCCAACTATCAGGGCGCTTTTAACGATATTATTTATTCAACGAACCAAAACTCAAGAGAGATGGAGCGTTGTTTTTAGTTTAGATGACCTTAATGCCGCTTTAAAATTAAATCTCCGTGGCAGAGCTCTTCGCAACCTCCGGAAATTCATCTTGATATTTTGCGCGAAAAACTTCCGAAACATTAGTTCCCTCTAAGATCTTGAAACTCTGCGAATTTCACTTACGTAACAAGATCAGAGATTTTGGGAGACGATACTTTTTGTAGTCAGTCGTTCGGCAGAATTCTCGTGTGTGACGATATGAACTAATGTAATGAAAATGACGAAAGTCGATGATTGGGCCCACATTTATTAGTGCCAGGAATGGTTTCAACTATGAAATTCCCAGAAGAACAACTACGCAGTATGTACAAATAGCATTAAACTAGGTTAAGGAATTGACTCTGCATATAGAGCCATCAAAGTTGATATTTGGGTAATTGGTGGTGGAATTTTTTTTTTTTTTTTTTTTTTTTTTTTTTTTTTTTCCATCCATTTTGAACATTCTTTTTTTATGTGGAAGATTCCCAGAGAAAAACACGCGCCATAATGTTCTCAACCATTCCTCACAAAAAACACTAGATTATTTTTTCTAACTATTTTGTCGTGCATAATTCGTGAACGTATCCATTTTTTCAACGTGACGAAAAGCATCTCCTAATCCCAAAATAATCGCCCGATACCCGAAAGCACAAAGCCTCGCAATAGCGTCTCGAGTGGAGAGGATTAGAAATAATTAAAGGAAAATTAAAAGTAAACAGATTTTTCACTCGCAAGGGTTGATAAGTTGTCAGCTGGATGAATTGGAGAGCCGCACTTGCGAGACGGGTGGGGAAAGGGGTTGGAAGCGGAAGTCAAACCGGATGAAACGAACAGCAAGAAAAACGGCCTTTGCGGCTGCGGGGGAGGGATGGGGTAGGAGGGGAGCGGAGGGCCGGGGGCGGATGGTAATTGTCAAACGGGGGTTATAGAAAATGACATAATTACGATCCGTCGGGACAGAGAGGAAAAAATTCCGCGCTTTTGCCGTTGCGTCGCGGCAAAGAAATACGGGAAATAAATTAGGGAAAAATAGGGAAAATTTGGCTGAAGCGAAATCCCTTTGGGCCTGGCCAACAACGCAACGTCGTATCTGCTGGCCTCTTTGCTTCTTCGTTGGACAATGAACACAGGCAGAGGATGTTCGAGATTTCAGACACCGGATACTGGGGGTTTTCAAACGGAAGGAAACGCAGGGAGAGCCTTCATTAATTAAGCGGCGCAACGCTCGCCCCCGACTCAGTTTGTCTCTGTTCGGATCGGGACTGTTCACTTTCCGATTCTTTGAGTCTGCTTCAAATGAATCATGCCCCTTTATAAACAAAGTCCGAACCCGATAATTTCGTATACAGGCCTGTAGGTCAACTGTCAACTTTATCTTGAGTCTTTAAAGATTCATCTCGTTGTTCCCTGCGCTTAATCCCAAAACACGGGTCTTGATTGCAGTGTTTCCAAACATCCCTTCGAAATTTCGTTATTAAAGTATAAATAAAAGGACAAAGACTAAAATTAGTCAAAAGAAGTTGCCAAACTCCTCATACTCACCTTCTTAAAAGAAAACTGAACGGAATTCTGATATGAAATATTATGAGTAAATTTTTAAAGACCTACGGAAAATTCACGTAAAAATTCAAAGTATTTTTAATTTTCCCGCTGAAACAAAATATGAGAGGAAGGCAAGGCGAAATGGCGATATTGTGTTTTTGGATAAAGATCATTGTTTCATGTTACATCATCTGCCATTGAAATTGCACCCTGAACAAAATCTTCTCATCTTTTTAAATATTGAAAAGACCTGTATGACCTGTCACGCCGAAAATGGTAAACAAATTTATCTGGTCCCCCATCCAAGGAAAAGTATGTGTAACTTTCCTCTATAGTAAATATTTTTAAAGGTAATTTGGCAACATTCAAATGTTCATACGGTGTTTTTCCTTAGCACGACCGTTTGGACATCAAATCAGGATCTGCTTGTTACCACGACAGTTTATAGGAGTTCTGCGTGAAGCGACGTGACGCGATGACAAGAAAAACGCCTTCAATAAACTGAATAGGCACACCGAGCTCCTAGGAGGACGAATAGTTGTATCACGCCCAACGGCAAGTTAACAGAAGTTATCGTAAACCGAATAGTTTTTTGAGTGATATTTTTGGCAGTTAAGAAATTAATTGACTTTGATTAATTAATTTTTTTATATCTCCTTGAACTTTCGAAATGAAACTATGAGCAAAATTTTTTGTGCAGTTTACAAAAGAATAAAGGAAAAAAAACATTAGTTATCCAAGAAATGCGTAAAATCTTCGAGAAAATTTGGCGGCGGGTGGATGTAGTTCTACGCACACAGAGTGTCATCGCATCACTTCCGTCTTAAAGAAGATCGCCGTATGAGCCTTAAGGCGTTGGCAAATTTTCTTTTGACAAACCCCGCATTTTCAGAAAAATTTGGAGATATTTATCTTCTTATTTTTCAGAGATATTTCATCATAATTTGATCCTAAGTGTATTAAAATTCCGAGGAGAAATATTTACTACTATCCTCCGATGTAAATATTTTTAAGAGAAAATTTGGCAACATTCGAATGCTCATGGTGCGTTTTCCCTTAGCACGGCCGTTTAGATATCGTTTGTGATTCTGTGAAAAGTTATTGGAGAAGAAACAGTTTCAAATAATGAGAATTTGCTTGTTACTAATCGTAAGACTTTTCACAGAAATTTAGCGTGACGCGAAGCGACGGCAACGGCAAGAAAACGCCCTCAATGAATTGAATAGGCAAACCGAGCTCCCAGGAGGTTGAAAAGTGGTATCATGCCAACAGCACATTTGCTAACAGCACGTTTCGTAAACCGTGCAGCTTTTAGGGTGGTATTTTTGGCTTTTAAAAAATTAATTTGAGCTCTACGATAAAAATTTCATTTGAAAGGACACCCCAGTCAGGTATATAAGCACTCTCTCAGCTACGCTCGCAAGAATATAATCAAAAAGAAAAATCGAATTTCCTGTGTTAAATGTCTTGAACTAGTGGTAGCAAATAATTTCCTTTCTTTCCTTTTTTCCCTTATTTTATACACAAGAACCATGTTTCGACCGTTTTTGGATCGTTTATTTTTATCGTTTGTTCTGCGAGCTGATTATTGAAATTGATAGACAAAGAAGACATCGGGAACATGGACCGATCCTACTATTCCTATTGGTTGAAACGGGTGGTTGTTATAGACTAAGGAAGAAAATGATGGACTAACCACAGGGTCTCTCGTGGGTTGCCGTTAGTCACTCTATTACTTACCTCTTCTGTCCATCGCAACCACCCACTTCCACCAATAGAGTCACTTTATTTTCAGTTGGTCTTCTTTCTCTATCAATTTCAATGATCAGCCTGCTGGACGGTTTATTTGGAAATTTGTTTTTCCGCCCCGCGAATTTGCATCCTAAAATTTTCTCTCGGCATATTAT